TATGCACGAGCACCTGACAGGAGATATCTAGCGCAGAAGAAGGAAAATCAAGGCTGGTGAACGTACAACTCATGTCTCCTCCTTGTCCGTCTGCGACACAAGGATATTCGACAACCAAATCAACTCTCTGACCCAAGAAGAGAGAGTAACTCCGACTTCCCCGCACGTGGCCTCTCTCTGGCTGCGCAACTCGACCGTCGTCCATATAGACACTGAGACAGGGACAAACATGTGTGTATAACGTAACACCAATAGTATAAAATTACAACATAAAGATAATGATGATCTGTAAATGAGTAGAGATCGAGAAATCGAGACACAAGGCGCACTCGGGTGTATAGATCAATTGTCGTAGCATTTTCTGTTCTTGTGGTTTAGAGAACACGTAGAGCAAGGTGCTTTGATCTCATTCTCTTGTACAATTGGTGTAAGTGTGATTGTCGACGAATGGACTTGTGCAAGTATCATGGAATTCCATTCCTAATATATGTCCATGAACCAGCTATATGTCTGTGCTGAGATTCGTTAAATTAGATGAAGGTTAATTCTGACATAATATCTCTCTTAACTGCTTTCCTCCTCCTCCGTATCCCTCAGTAAGAGTTTCAAGCTGCAACTGTTTAGTGAGTGAAAAATGATTGATGGAGATAAAAAGCGGCAAACTGAAATGAACACTACGAAAGCAAACAAATGATAGAAATGAAGTATAAATTAGCAAACTCTACATCGCAACTGTACGAATCTAATGAACACCGAAAGAGGGCAGTAATCTGGCCCTGGAGCTCGCTCGCCTATGATGAGTCCACTTCGCACAGAGTTGCAACCTTCAATTGCATTCGAAAAATAGAATCAATATCAGTAAATCAGTATTAAAAATAATGATAAGTATAAGAACGGGGAATCATCGTCCTCGAGTTATATAAGGACACCAAATATATCTCTGAAGACGTGAAGAACTCGTATAGCTCATAATCTAAGAAATGAGTAAAGAAGCATGCACTCCGTGAAAAGATAGCCCTACATACGCATGGATGGTACATAGAGCGCTGACTTGTCTACGAGTAGAGTCGGCGCTCCGAGCCGATAGGCAAATAGGAGAGCTGGATAGATGTACACCACTAACATACCAGAACCGTCGTGGAGCAACTCTGCTTCTGCATCCCAATCTCCATCCTCCTTCATGAATTAATCCTCAGTGGACAAGGATGGAGCATCAAAAAGAATGTAAGTCTCATAGAATAGCCATCATTATAGATCAACGAGATAAAAGTCAACTTTGCGGAGGAGTAGATGAAAAAAACCGCAACTCACAAACGATAATAGCGAGCTACCATCTTTGAGCGAGAGTATAAGTCATATACACATCCTATTGACCAGTAGACGAAGTAGCTGCACATACGAAAGGTGGACATTCTCCTGTAGAAATGAGATGCAGCAGAAGAGGATAATATATGAGCATACCACAGCAAAGAGGCTCACTAATCCATAAAGCGCATATTATAATAAATCTAGTATAACAAAAGATGCTATAGACACATCGAATACTAATATTCAGCAAAGAAAGAGAATACAACATATGTTCAAGAAAAGTAAGTTGGTCTCATATGGACGATATAGCTGCTATGCTTCATAGCAGGAGGCTCTATTAGTAGGCATTCACTTGGCTGAGATAATGACTAGTGCCATAACTAGAAGCATCAACACAGAGTCATGGCCACGATTATCATATATGATTGATTGCATATAATCAGGTGAGTGACAGAAAGATTTTACACTAATAAACTCTATAATGGATACATACGCATTAAGCGACAGAAATAAGTAACACATTAACAATTTTCCTATTCTTAAAAACCAAGCAATTGAGATTATGAAACCGAATAAAATGTGTTTTGGTGTTCAATAAAAGAGTATTTGGTAATTAGTTCATAAAGCCCAAAAAGGAACTGTCTTCATTATAAACGGTGCCGTTTTGGTTAATAATATGCGGCGGTTAATAAAAACGCCGTTAAAAAAATAGAAAAGTGTATGTGTCAGGACATGTTGAAGAAGGATTATATAGCTTCGGTGTGGCTAATGAGATTTATAATACTCATCACAGGTCTCATTATGTGTGAGAGTATTCTGGGTAAGTGAAAGACACTAGAGGCTAAGAATAAAGTGCGTCGAATGAGAGACCAAATTTTATGCGCAGTTGATGGTGGGTCATTCGACTGACTGGTGGTTCACCCGACGACTAATATGGATAATGAGAGCAACGCTCAAATGTAGCAATATGTATGTAAATTTGTAAAGCATATAGCCGGAAGTAGCAAAATAGCAAGGTAATAACCACATACAGAAAATTGTGTTCATGACGGAATTGTATAGATTACAAATCATACAGAAAATTGTGTTTTTTGAAGAACGCGATTTGCATATGTTTCCAATGCAAGAGAGACACTGTAAGTTCAACTTGTAGAGAACCTTAGTGAGCTCCAGAAAAAACACTAGATAATGGACATGAATAGTCTGCTACTTTGTAAGTAACAGTTTGAGATGAATAATGAATCAATTCACTAGACTCTTTCCACAACTTGTGTCAGTGAAAACAAAAACATAAGTCAAAATTAATAAATAAAATTTAAAAAAAACTCAGAAGATATCATCAACAGACATTCAGGTAAAGACAGTTTAATACTTATTGGCACATGAATGATACAAAGTAACTGAGAAAATTGTTGCATAAAAAAATTATAAGACAAATGTAAAAACCACAAGAAAGACTGAAGGATAACAATCAACCTTGCAAGAAGTTACCCAATTGCAGCAGCAATAGCCACAAACGCAGCGCTCTTCATCTTTTTCGACGAATTTTCCAACTAAGAAACAAATCAACCACTATTCCAACTCTAACCAGACGATACTCTTATCAGTGCAAACCCTTGTCAACTGCCAGGATTAACTTCATTGCCAGTTTGCATCATCAAGCTCTAGCGTGTTAAAATGATTAAACTTTGATCATAGTAAGAAACAACTAAATGTGGAAATTCAAACTAAGGCACATACTCACTGATACCATTAATAAGCTAAAAATTTCCACTAAGAAGGAACTAAGAAAACAATCAACATCCACAAAAATAAAAAAAAAAAAGAAAACAAAAACAGAGGAAATGGAGATCTTAATAAAAGAAAAAATGCCTTACCTTTGAAGAACCAGAAAGGTCAGTGTAATAGGAAAATCGACTACCTAAAATGAGGAGACTTGAAACAGAGAGAGAGACGTTAACAAAACTTTTGCTAAAACCATTAAAAAACTATTGCTGAATGATATATTGAGAGAACATACACATAAATATATGGAATGGAGAGGCGAGTTGGCTTACGAATATTCAGTGCACAGACACAATACTAAAAATGAAATAAAATAAGCATTCCAAAAAACTACCCAAGAAGATGTAGAACCAACAACCATTATGAAACCCAACACCCTTCAAGATAGTCAAACACTCACTCAAAAGTCCCATTGGCCACAAAAGGATTAGCCCAAGCAAGGAGGCCATTAAACTTCATTAGCAATTACAAGAATTTTTAGCTTTATGCAGTTTCAGCAATAATTGCAAAAATCAGTTAATAGAAAACCAATGCTTATTGTAACCATAAACCAATTATGAAGTGAGAATACCTCTTCAATGTGGATAAGTATAGACATTGCCACAGGGATCCAGGATTTTATATGATTACCATTGCAGCAGTGTTATGGTCTGCAAGAGTCCTTCGACAGCATCAAATCAACTTCCAACCTTTTTGGGAAGAAGATCAAAATGCAAATTCAAGATGTCTAAAAGCTAGCACAAAGTTATCGAGATGAACCCTGGCCTTGAAGCAAATATTCACTCCCGGGCGGCTAAATTTGACAAACAACTCAATAGCTTGATAGTGCAACCAATGCTGACAAAAGTATCGTCGGTGATACTTGCGTAATAAAAAAGAGATCACTGTGACAAATATTCGGCAATTGCTCTTGTAAAGAAAAACAACAAATGAACAATAAAAAAATCCCATTTCAGAATACCAATCCACCATCAAAAACTGTTTAAATGAATGCAGCTAGTTTCATGTATTTTAATACCCAGATCAGCTTTCTTCTGATTAGAAAAAAAGTAATGAAATTACTAAATATCTAAGGACTCTAGAATTATGTTGAAAGATTTTATGAGCATGAGAATATATAGTCTGGAGTCTAGAAGAGTCTTTATGTTAAGTTATTAATGAAGTGAAGCCACCATGATGAGAGCAGAAATGAAAAGCTAAAAGGTTTTTAGAAAAATTGCAGTCACAATACAAAATTTTTCCAAACAAGTAATACAGAAACTAGCCCAAAATTTCAAACATCTTCTTGTCATCCTTTTCCTTACGGACCACATTTCAGCAGATTGAATTTTTTGTGAGGAGTCAGAAAGAGCTTTACTCCTTTCCTATTCACCTACTCTTTTTTTTTTTTTTTTGTAAATTTATGGTTCAAAGATTCTGTCTTTAAAATTTTGTGCATTGTCAAGTAGCACACAAAATGGGACGGAGGGAGCAGTGATGTAGGACGTCACTGCTGCAGCATGTGTTTCCTAGACTATAAACAATTGGTATTTAGTTCTCAAGGTCAAACCTTAATCCCCTTGTATCTATTTGTTTTAATCTTTCTAACAAGAATACCAACAAGGAGGTGATCCCTAAAAGGACACGAGGTAAATGACATGGGGACATTGAAAATTTATGAAAACTGACTTGGGTGTCTAGGTTCATCAGGCACAGTAATATATGTTTCAAAATGGGTCTAATACTTGCATGTAATGTTGGATTATGTCAAGTTATACCACAATTTGAAATGGAAGCTTTTCTGTGAAGAAGATTATTTCTGCTTTAAGCCCTGGGACAGCTAATGATGTGTAGTTTATATGCAGTTCTCTCTCAACTCTTCCCTACCATTTATCTAATTAATAATCTTGAATCGGAAAATGGCGCAGGTTCTTAATGGCAACCCATATAACAGGAAATGCGATGTATATAGTTTTGGTATCTGCCTCTGGGAGATATACTGCTGTGACATGCCGTATCCTGACCTCAGCTTCTCAGAAGTGACATCAGCTGTTGTCCGCCAGGTACAGAAAAATGTTTGAAATGTGCATTGCATATGTTGACCTTGTTTTTGCTTCTACAAAGATATGAAACATTGAACTTTACTGATTCTTTCATTTTTTCTCTCTACTTTTTTTGCCTATTCATTTGAATGTTTAGGAAAAAGAAGTCTTGTCTGTTGAATATATTTTAAAATTTTCTATAATCTCCGACTTGAAATTTATTAGGGTGTGTTTTGATCTTGGATTTGAGTAGAGATTTGGAGAGAAAGGGAAAAAAAATAAATCTCTACTCAAATCCAAGATCCAAACACAGCCTTTGAGTTTCTCTTCAGGATGAATGAAGGGGACATTTGGGCTAGTGGCAATATTGTTGGCCTTTATCTATAAATTGCATTGCTTTATTGTGCCCTGTTTGGATAATAAACAGAAACTCTATTGCAGGATCACAAGTAAACTTGAAGTTGGTGTATTTTATTGGGAAAATATAACCTGCTAGTGCTTTGAAGATTTTTTTCGTCCCCTTTGTGGAAACAGAAAATTATATAACATTATGTAGTATCAGCGTTTACAGATTAGCTAGCTCACGGATTGGCAGAATTACAGATCTAGAAACTTTAGATATACATAAAAACATTAAATAACCTACAGATAGTTTTGATGTGCTCAATAATTAATTGTGCAACTAATATTCCAATATGGTTCACATTTGACATTCAAAATATTAACCAGGACTTGGCAATCTGTGAATGCCAACACACATGTTAGTCAATGATCATTGTGGTGCATCCACACAAGCTTTAGCTTCTGCCACCAATGGAGAGGGAAGATAGTGTATTGTGACTTCTTGTTGAACATTTACTTGTTCTTCATTGTGGCAAACCCATGCTGCACCAGCTCTACACTTTGCTGCTGTCCGAGATCCATCAACCACAAATGTCCACACCTGAGGATCTGCACTGTTAGTACTAGATATTTATATAATTTTTATGTAAAACTATATGGATATCTATATGTGAAAATATGCTTTTGCCTTTTTGATTAATCAAAGCAATCAAAATTGAGTTGATATATACGTAATGTCTTGACAGTTAGAAACATAATTTATATGAAGAAGTTGGAGAAGGTGTCAGCGCCGCTGTTCACCGGGCTCTCTGCATTCCTTTGTGTTGACTGGGATTTGGGAATGTATCCTGCTCAAAATTGTCTTTTGTTGTACATGAACCTATTATGATTAATTGAATACGAATCCCTATTCTGCAGTGTAATGATGTGTAATATGTTTGACTATTCCATTGCATCTGTATGTGCAAGCAAATGACTTAACCTATTTTTTCTTTTTATTTTTTGATTGTGTTTGTTGTTTGATTTTGGTTCAGACACAATCATGTAATGTTTATTTAGTCAATATATTGAAGTAGCTGTAAAATTTTATTCATATTATTGTTATTTTTCAGCTTTATTAAAGGTATGTTTTTTAGTTAAATATAACAGATTCAGAACAATTTTTTTTTAAAAAAAAAGAGCTATAACGGCGTTTTTTCAAAACGCCACTACAGTGCCAACGGACATTTTTTTAAAATAAAAAAATCTATCACGGTGTTTTAAAAACGTCGCTAAATATTGGATGACGTCATTTTATCATTATTTATCGCATTTAGCGGCGTTTTTAAAAACGCCGCCTATACTAATTTTACGACGTTTTTAAAGCGTCATAAACTTATAGCGACGGCCGCGTCCTCGACGTTTGGTGATAAGCGTCACTAAAGGAATTAGCGGCGTTTTTCATACATATAGCGGCGTTTTTAAAATGCCGCTAAAAGTCATTTTTCCAGCAGTGCTTTCTGGGTGGAAGAAATATTATGGATGGAGTTCCAGTTGCTAATGAAGTAGTAGATTGGTGGAAGAAATCAAAGAGCAAGGGTTTAATTCTAAAACTGGATTTTGAGACGCATACGATTCAGTGAATTGGAATTTTTTGCTTAATATGTTATCAAGTTTTGGATTTGGCTCAAAATAGCTGTTATGGGTGAAGGAATGCTTATCATCGTCTAGAGTATCTCTACTAGTAAATGGATCCCCCACGGCTAAATTTGGCCCGTAAAGAGGATTGAGACAAGGTCACTCTCACTCTTCCTGTTTAATGTTGCTGCTGAAGGTCTTAATGTGTTGCTGTTAAGAGCCAAGGAGTTGGCGATTATTAATGGAGTGTCAGTGGGTTCAAATGGGGTAAACATATCCCATCTTCAGTTTGCGGATGGCACAATTATCTTTTGCAAAGCAGATTGGAATGAAGTTGTGGCTGTTAAAAGATTTTTAAGATGCTTCGAAGTGGTATTTGGGCCTAGGATCAATTTCCATAAGAGTGTGGTGTGTGGAATGGGTGTGGAGGAAGAACGGGTGGCTGGATTTGCAGAAAGGCACAATTGCTTGAGCCAAAAACTGCCTCTTAAGCACCTGGGAATGCCATTAGGAGCTATTCCAGGCAGGAAACAGACTTGGAAACCAGTGGTGGAGAACTTCAAAAAGATGCTTACTGTCTAGAACAGAAGGGTGTTGTCTTTTGCAGGTAGAGCGATTCTTATCAAACCTGTTCTCTCTAGTTTGCCAATTTATTACATGTCATTATTTAAAATCCCTGAATGTGTTGCAAGAGATCTCAACAAAATTCATGCAAGCTTTCTTTAGGGGGCATGAAGAACTAAAAAGAAAAGTACACCTGGTAACATAGAATGAGGTGTCAATGAACAAGAATCAATGTGGGGTTAGGAGTTAGAGACATCTGGCTTGCAAAGCAAATGGTGGTGGAGGTATGCCTTGGAGGATGATGCTCTTTGAAAATCAATAATCTGCAGCAAATATGGAGATTTGGGAGGAGGGGTAGGTGGTTTCCATGTAGTAATGATCCTGTCTCTACATCTAAAATCTAGAAGGATATCCCGATTGTTGCTCTTAAAAATCCTAGGCTTTATGATTTTTATATGGAGAATGATGAACTGAGGATTGGGAATGGAAACAGAATTTTGTTTTGGAAGGATAAGTGGGTGGGGGAGGCAAGCCGTATGCACCAATTTCCCAGGTTGTACCAGCTATGCACTAACAAAGGGATTGTCTTAAGTATGCAAATAACCAGAAAAGTCAGCATGAATAGGTGGACTTTCAACTTTAGAAAATCACTTCATGGATGAGAAGAAGATGAGATTGATAGATTGCAAAACCTACTAGGGGCAGGCCCAAGTTTAAACATGGACATTGTGGATTCCCTAAATTGGAAGGTAGACCAAACAGGGATCTTTAAGGTTAGTACTGTGTATAATTGGTGTGAGTTATCAAAGTGTCCCGTATTGAGTTCTGCTGAGTTAGTGTGGAACAACTTTCCCCCACCAAAAGCAAAGTTTATAACATGGTTATCTTGGAGAGGTAGGCTTAAAACAACTGAATTCCTAAACAGAATTGGAGTGCTGAGAGGCAATGTGGATCTTTGTTGTGTGGTCTGTAAATCTGATGTGAAAACACTGCATCACATCCTACTTTTCTGTCCTTTTGTGTAGAAGGTTTGGTCAATTATCATTGATTAGTGAGGACTGCAATGGGTTGTACCAGGTTCATTGGAGAGGTTATTACAATGGTGGCTGGCGTGGAAGTTCAGAATGAAGGAAAAGCAAGAATGGAGGGCTATCCCCATTTCAGTTGTTTGGTCATTGTGGAAATATAGAAATGACTGTGTGTTCAATGGCATACAACCAAATATTGAGGAACTGTGTGATCTTATTAAGATTAGATAGCCATTTGGTAGAAATCTCATGATAAGGGATGCTTTTATTCCATAAATGAGGTGGTGGTAAGCTTACAACAGGTGAGGCAATGTATTTTGAGAGGGTGAGGCTTGATTTTTCAAGATGCTTTTAATGTGTTGATTTGTGTGTGCACTTACGGTTGTGTTGCTCTGCTTCTGCTGCTGGGTCAGGGGGGTATCTGAGGGTGGGAGGTCTGGTCCTGGTGTGTTCTATTGCATCAGTTCTTGGGTGGTTTTGCTGGGTGTGGTTTGGAGGTTTTTGTTGGTTTTTTTGCTATTTTTCTCGCCTCTGGTTGGTTTCTCATCAAACCTGGGGTTGAGCGAGCACATGATTGGGCTAGGTGTATGGTACAAACCTAGTTGGGATCATTCGCTTTAGTTATAATGCTAGGGCTCTCCCCTGCTTTATTGATACTTGTATTGTACCTTGTATTCTACTTTTCATCAATAAAGTTCTTTTGCCGATCAAAAAAAAAAGTAAGGTTTAATTTTATTTTTGGTCCTTAAATTATGAGTCTTGTGTTTTAGGGGAAAGTAGTGAAACATCCTTTCCAATTTTGGGTAATAGGAGAGGTCCAATATATTTTTTTATTAGTTAAGGTCACAAAGAAATTTCTATGTGGCGAGCAAAAATTTCTCTGTGAAACTGAAACTTTTCATAAAAATAAATTTCGTTGTGAATGGAAATTTTTCTATGAAAGTGTTGACGAACCCCAACTATTACCACTACTTAAAAAAAGTATTTTTTTTGCGACAACTACAAGCCATCACAAAAAATAGAAATACATTCGCAAAAAACCTTTTGCGATGTGCCATGCGACGACAATTGGGGGATGCAAATGTGAGGGTAGCAAATACTTTTTGTGACTGCAAAACAACAGTTACAAATTATTTGCGACCGCCTAACCTACTTACGGTGACTAATGTTTTGTCGTCACAAAAAAAATATTTAAAAATGCCTACAATGTATTAGCGACCATATTGTTACCGTCGCAAAAAAACCAAAAATAAAAATGGCTACAATGTTTTAGCAATCATAAATAAATAAAACAAAATAAGGAATAAATTGATTGACTATTTGTGACTGCTAATCAGGTGGTCGCAAATTATACAGTAGCAAAAGGTAATTTTTCTAATAGTGTTTGTTGAATGGTTGACGCACATGAAATTGCGTTTTGAATGATACACAACCCCCATTTTGCATTGAGTTGAATGGTATTTTTTTACCAAGATTACAGCAACCTTCAAATTCACTTGTGTACAACAAAGTAGAACTTACGAACCAAGACTTACCCAATACTCAATGTGTGTGTGAAAATCTGACCACACTGCCTGCTTAGTGATCAACTGGAGAGCACAGGCAGAATAGATGGCTTCAGCAACCTGAAACAGAAAGAAAAGGCTCCGGCGGTGGTTCTTCCACCCGGGGGCACTCCGACGATCAAGTCAGTATATCTCTCAAAGATAATCAAGTACTAAACTTAATACTCAAAACATAAATTGCATACCTTAGACCCACGGGGGTGCCTCTCTTTTATAATATATTCAATCCATGTCCTACTAGAAGTATGACTTCTATGAACTCCAATTCAGTGTTTACTTTGGACTCCTTAAGAGATAAAGATAAACTCCCTAAGAGTTTTATCCTTATCTTGGTTAAGTCCTCTTTGTCTTAGGACTCTTGTCCCTTATTCGCTTATCTCGGATTCCGATATCTTCGGAGATAATCTCGGCAACTCCGAGATCACCTCGGCCTAACTACCACGACACGTTGCACCTCGGCTGACACGTCGGCGTCACCATGCCACGTGTTGGTATTCAGAAAATATATCCCCACAACTGCCCCCTAGGTTCTATTACCTCGGCGCTCTGAGGTGATGGAACCTATACCGATATTTCGATATTCCTTTTCTGAGTAATGGCTCAAAAATTGTTTAGCCGAGATAATCCACTTTCAGCCGATGTGTTCTCTTTGAAGAACAAGGTTTCGAATGTACTCTCTCACGTGCATGAGCTGTCATGCACTTCTAACCGTTCCCTTCAAATGCTTTATTTTTATTGGCCTGCTCCTGCGACGCGCCTTAAGGCTGTCTTTTCATCCGTCTGCGCCGTCTGACGTATCCGGTGCTGCAGGCGCAATAAATGCCCTAATTTTGCCGCCGTTTCAAGTTTTTGACAAAACTTTTCTTTGCCTCTTTCTTTCTTCACTTTTTCATTCTGATTTCTTCCTCTTTCTCTCTCCGAAAGCTCTTTTTTCTTTGAATCTGTCATTACTTCAATCTCTCTTCTGAAACTGTCTTTAATCTTCCATTCTTGCGAAGCTTTCTTTGCTGTCACAACCGATTTCTGAGCTCGGCGAATATTGCCCCGGCTTCATTTGTTCTGGTAAGATTCTGTTCTTTCACTCTTAATTCTCTTTATGTGCTTTCGCCTTCCTGTTGCTATTATCGCTTTTGTCCAAAGCCTTGGATTTATTTGTATCTTGAATCGTGGCTACATCTTGAACTTTTGCACTATTTCACCATTTTTCTTGCCACTGTTCTTGATTCTGAAACTATGTCTCTATTTTCTGTTTTTTGCACTATTTCACCGCTTTTCTTGCTGTAATTCTTGACTCTTAACCCTTTGTATTCTTCGTGTTTCTGATAGCCCACCGTTGTTCTTGAATCTG